TTAATTATTGCTTCTGTTCTATACGTGTTACAGTATGGCAGATGCATACCTGCACGTATATCGCAACAGTCACGTGATCAAAATTTTGATGTTTGGCAACAGTTATAATTTATATTTGTAAATTGTAGTTATGCTGAAATAAAAAAAATATTACAATACTATTTTTGCGTTGTATGAAAATTTTTGTTGCTCCATGTAAAATTTTTAATCAAGCCCCCCCCACCCCCCCTGGTCAAAGGTGTCCCTCTTTACCAATCTGAAAATCTGGTCACCTTATTTATGCTGTGTTATGCAAACTCAGTCTGTAAGCTAAGATGTAACATTGCAGAAGAGTGATGAAAGCCAATTGGTTAATTTTGGGTCAGTCATTCTCTCTCAGCCCAACCCACTTCACAGGGGTGGTGTTGTGGGAAAGTAGGAAAAGGAATATGTGTTGGATATGTTCGCCACCTTGAGTAATTTATAAAATTCATAAAAGCAAGACACTAAACAAAGTTCTTTTTTAGTAGGGGATTACTGTGTTGCCTTCAAAGCAAGCATTACTCTTTAGCTTCATTTGGGTGTGAGTGTGGGTGGAATTATGATTTATGATAAATTAAATATGCCGAATTAGAAAGGTCTATATTATCTTAAAGGATGGTGGTTTCAACAAACAAAAATCTTGTTATACATTAAATTTAACACGTTCTCAGAGTTATACCGAGATATCACCTCTCCAAAGTTAGGAGATCCCGGCCGAATCAAACAAGGAGACAACGAGCAAAGATTTATTAATAGGGTTGCCAATTCGAACGCAAGAGACTGACTTTTTAACCACCAAGATAACAATATAGAGCGGCAAGAGAGTTCTGAAGCCTGGAGATTTTGGAGAGTTGTCCCGCCACAAGATATGCGCACAAGTGGTGCGCAGCGAGATTGAAGGGAGTGCGGGACGTCGTTCTTTTTTTATCGTGTGTTGAGATGAAGCGCGGGAGCTTAGCCAGCCCGGCCTGCTCAGGAGGTGGACAACAGGTAGCGTAAGGTAGCTTTACTCTCCCGCGAGATTCTCGATCCTAATTATCGTAGCTTTCTCCCCTCAGAAGGCGGCAGGTGACAAGCAATGTTTCTTAGTCTACACACACATACCACACATACCACGCCCTATCAGCCACAATTTGGTGGTGATAAAAATTGACTTCTAGCCTCCAGAAACCGATCGTGAGAAGAAACCTTTCAATTTCGGTGCATCTACAGGCGGCATCCTACAGGAATATGGATACAGGGTGGCTGAATTTTTACTACACTCAAGGGTGAACAAGGGTTCATAGCACCGTGCGTTGTACAAACAGGTTAAGTTAATGAGCCGATGTAATCGTTGACTCCTGAGGTGCTTAAGGAGGATTTTGTATTAAGTGATGTGTATTTTAAGAATATAACTTAAGCGTGTTTGCTTAGAAATAAATTTTAAAGAGGAGCAAATATAAATATCTAGCCTGGTATGTAAAATAATTTATTGCAGCATTTTAATACTAATAGTATACAGTTTTCTGAAATATAACAGAAATGAACAAACACATTCTTGTATATCTCAATTGTTTCATAATTCTCTACATTCCTCACATGGAAGATGAGCACTTAATGTGATTCTCAATCTTCTTGAAGTAGAAGGGGGAACAAGCCTGGTATGAAAAACTGCTTTTTCAGCATTGTGTGTGGTATATGTCAATTTCTTATAAGATGAATGCTTTTTCCCAGCTAAAATAAACACTGCTATGGTTAACTTGTCTATACAGAATTTATGCAAAGATATGTTCATTTCTCAGTGTTCATTTTCACTTAAATACTCACCTTCTGCATGTTCTTTTATATAACATAATTTAATATTTCTAAAATATATAAATCCAAACAATATATGAAAACTATGGTTTAATATAGCCCAAAATGTAACAATAAAAAAGAGAAAGGTTTTCTTGTTAAAGACATTTGTTGAATAGCAGATAGAAAAAAGGGGGAAATCGTTTGTTCTGTTGCAGAAAACTGAGGTAGAAGTTGAATTTGTTAAAGTCAAAAAGAGTGCTTTGGAGAGGTTGATAACTGAAGTAATGCAGTTGCACGACATTCTACCTAAGATATTGAATAGTGATATCTTAGAAAGCCTTCAGAAACTGGATGCCTTTGAAACAAGTAAGTTCTATATTAACCACAATTAATTCATAGAATAGTATGGAATCTGTGAAAACAAGACAATTGTTAATATTGTTTGGTTGTATCCTGCTTTCTGTTTTTTTTAAAATATTTTGTATGCAAGACAAGATATAGTAAAATATTTAAATATAATACAAAAGTTTGTAACTTACAAAAGGCCCTTCTTTTCTTAAAAGAAATTAAGATGCAAGAGTGAAGAATGTTAAGTAATATGAAATATTGGAACGACACTTTCCTTGCCTAATAATCTCCTACTTCATATCGAGTTGAAAAATGGAAAAAAGGTTGATATGAAGAGTATTAAAACATTCCTCCTCCTGCTTTGTTCCCTACCAAATTATCGTTTTATGACAGAAACTAAAATTCTAACTTTACAACTTGTACTGCATTATGCTTTCCACTGGGAATTTGTGGAAGCAATATATGATACATAGTGGTAAGCAGTTAAAAGTTCAAATTAAAGAGGAACTGTACAGTTGCTTTTCCTTCCTTACTCTGGATCATAACTAGATCATGGTCTCGTTACTTCAGGCTCAGTACTACTGTTTTTCATATTCTTGCAGTTTCTGAGTGAAAGAGGAGAGACATAATTGCTTATTTGAGCCAAATATAATAGCAATAGCAATCACACTTAGACTTATAATTAAGAGTGCTTTACAGCACTCTCTAAGAGGTATATATTTATATTTATCAACCTTAGAAGGAAGAAAGACTTCCTTGAGTAAACCTTGAGCCGCTCCCGGCAATGGGCAGAATCAGCCTGCAATGCTGCATTCTAACCACTGTGCCACAATGGCTCTGAATCCATGACATTATGGATTGAGACTGATAAGAGTCTAGAACAGGATTGTCAAACTCAAGAGCCGGGGGCCAGATCTGGCCTGGGGGTTGCCCTGGAATTAGCAAAGGACTGGCTCGTAGTGCCTCTGCCAGCAAAAACGTAGCTCCATTTTTACTTGAAGAGGGTTGTAGGAGATCATCCTGGCCAAAAACAGAGCCTGGGGGAAGGGGGTTATGCATTCCTCCTCTCAAGCTCTATTTTCACTGGCAGAGGACTACCAAAACTAAAACTAAAAAGGAGAAATGTTTCCCCTTTTGGATTTGAGCATGTAAGAAGGGACAGGAAAGGAGAATGACAAAGAGGAAAGACAAAAAGAAGAAAAGATGGGAAGAGAGCAAAGAAGGAAAAATAAGGAAAGGGGAAAGAAGAAGGAAGGAGAATAAAGAGGGAAGGAAAAAGAAAAGGAAGGAGATTATAATGAGAGAGAGGGGGGGTCTGAGGGAAGTCCTGTCTTAGCACTTAGCCACCACAGGTGCTCCCGACACAAGTGATGTTGAGGTGCCTCCCCCCCCCCCCCCCCCCCAGCCATACCCACCTCATCCATCCACCCCAAGTCAAACACAAACCTGATGCGGTCCTCAATGAAATCAAGTTTGAAACCCTTGGTCTAGAACATGTGCTGGTCTATGATTATCCTGTTCTTGCAGGACCTGTCAACATTATTTTCCTGATGTTACTTGTTAATATTTGAGAGCATATTTTTTTAAAAAAACTTTTTGTTCTCCTCCTCCCCTTCCTCCAAATGATTTGAAGATAATGAAAGATTGTAAACCACAGAATCAGTGGTCTAACTTCTGTTTGTTTACCAAATATATATACTTACGGAGTCCTGCTAAGGCATACTGAATAGGTGACTTTATAGCCACTATTTGAACTTTTCTAAGAATGATCCATTAGAGAAAAAGATCTGTTTTTATAAGTTAAACCTATTAGTTTAAGTAGTACACACAAGAAAATGAAACTGCATTGTCCTATATATGACTAATCTTCAAATATTTGAAGATGACTAATATATTATCTTTTGCCGCTAAAGGTTAAATAAACACAGTATTTCACTTGTCTTTGAAGGATTTGGTTTTCTAAGCTTTTCACCATATTTGTTACTTTCTTTATAATGTGATTTGCTGATAGTTGCAGTTTAGTGGTAGTATTTGAATGACTTGATTTGTTTTGCATTGTTTTGCTTGTGATCCTCCATTTTTAGTTGTAGAAAAGAAAGCTAATGAACTGGAACAATTGAGAATGGATTGTGAACATTATAAAGTTCGCTTGGAAGCAGCCCAGGCAGACTGTGTAAGAGAAAGAAAGGTAAAGGATGACTCCTATTCATTACCCAGTTTATATATTTTAAAAACTCTTAAATTAGCTGGGACTTATTAAAAATCGTTATTATTTATTAAAATTACATCTTACCTCTCCTACAGAAGCTTAATGTGCTTTTCTTTTTATCCATAAAGGAAAAGGTTTGTGATTTGTTTGTTTGTTTGTTTATTGGATTTATATGCCACCCTTCTCCCAAAGGACTCAGGGCGGCGTACATTAAAAAAAACACATATTACAAAAGTTAAAAAGGAAAGCACATTAAGCTTCTGTAGGAGAGGTAAGATGTAATTTTAATAAATAATAACGATTTTTAATA